CCCCCGCTACACCGCGGCACCCGCTCCGGGACCCCCGCTACACCCCGGTACCCGCTCCGGGACCTCCGCTACACCCCGGTACCCGCTCCGGGACCCTCGCTACACCGCGGCACCCGCTCCGGGACCTCCGCTACATTCCCGGTACCTGCTCAGGTACCTTCTCCCGATCTTCGGTCCCTGCACCCCCTGGCACCTGCCCTGGCACCTCCCCGCAGCCGCAGTCCCCGCCCTGCCGTGCCCCCGCCAGTGCAGCCCCAGTGCCGGGGTCAGATCTGGATAAGCACACGGTATAAAGTGTCGCTGACTGATCAGCTTTCATTACCACCCCATCCTTACACCCCTGACACCCTCTCTTTGACCAACAGAACCACAAGAGCACGTCAGGGTGTTTACAAACAGACTTTCCTGGGTGGTTTGTCAGTCATTCCAACCTTTCAAAGTGCTGAAATACTGCCCTAGATGGCCCAACCAGCCTAAAAGTGACATCAACTATTCTCATGCAATTTTGGTTATGTGCTACCTGTGACACGTGGATTTCAAAGCACTTGTGCGGGAAAATTAAGCTGATCAGGACTGTACAGTCAATCCAAAGGAGAGCAAAAGACTGACTTGCACAAATTCACACCTCAGGTTTCTGCCAGAGCCTGGTCCATGGCTTCCCCTTCAGACCCCACCAGAATGTTCCAACCACTGCCTTCCAAGAGGAGGAGAAGCATCAGCAGAGGCTGCCCAAAGAGGCAGCAGGAATGCCTTCCTTGAAGAGTCTCAGAACCTGACAAGGCACTGAACAACTTAAATAACTGACTTCAGCCCTGCTCCAGAGAGGAGAGGAGACCAAAGGCTCCACAAGCCTTTCCAACCTGAACTATTCCTAAGGTGAGGTAAATTGTCAGTTTTGCAACATTCTCACCTTGTGACAAGATTTACACCTTATATCTTTTAGCCACTTGAGACATATTTCAGGCCTTGATAATTTGGATACTAACACACATTCAGTCATAGGATGAAGTAACAGCTTGTCTGGACTAGGCTGGAGTCCCTGGAAAAGCACCTGGAGTGTGTAAGGGACCCCGATGTCCTCCTTGGTGACACTCCACCTCAGGAGCCCTTTTGGCTCCCAGTCTGCCAGTGGTTCCACTGATACTCAACCCTGCTACAGAATTACACCTTTTATACATATTTCAATATTTTAATAATAAAAAAACCCAAACTGCAACAGCTGAAAATATTGGAAGACATATTTATTGCATCATAGGTATCATCTTTATTGCAACTCTCTCAGGTTTTGGTTACCTTGCTTGTTTTCAAGCATTTGAGCCACATTATAATGAAAATCTAGTGCTAATACAATAACTAAACCTTTTCCATAATAAGTTAACTATTGATTCATCATTCCTTTATCATAACAAGTAAAAAATACAACTGAAATACTAAGGCTATCACTAAAAAATCAAGTCACCAAGGCTTTCAGTAAAGCTTCCTATAAAAAATGTGTAATTAGCAGAAATAGTGGTTCTGCTCACTAACTTGAAAAATACAACAGAAAACTGTCCAAATATAAACAGAAGCCAAATTCTATCAGTACCTATTCAGCTCAACAGTGAGTACAGAATTTCTGTAGCAGTGAAAGATTTTTCTTCTCTGAGCAGCAAGTGTTCAACCACACATTCAGTGTTTTCTCAGAGACATTTTTCTGCACGTGCAGCATATTCAATGCATGACAAAATATTCCACCTGCTTTAAACATTTCACTTATTAAGAGGAGACAGATTCAGACACAACATTAACAGCAGTTTCAGATATAAAGTACTCATTTTAGAATACAGCCATTTCTTTCAAATGGTATAGAGAAAGCTGCAAAAAGTGAATCCAAAAGTTGCATCAATCAAGTGCTCAAGAAGGTTAAATTAAGTTCCAAATTACTGTAATTTTTACTGATATTTTGTTCCCTATGATAGCATTACTTAAAGAAATTGTCAAGTTATGGTAAATTAAATTTACAATGCATAAGAATTCTGTTAATTGTTACTGAAAAACAGGAGTCCAAGCCAACCTAAATACTCCAAAGACTCAAGTTGTTCTGGCAATACCTTACTGTTACAAAGGCTGTTCTTGAAAATTCTGCAACAAAATGCAAAACACTCTCAGATGATGTTATTGATGTCCTTTGTGTGCTTTTTTCATCTACAAATGAAGAAAAAAGAGAAACTATCAAGATAAATATTGCCCCAAACCACTGCACAGTTACAGACCAGCTTTCAGTAGGCAAAGGCTTGTCACTTAATTGCTCCCATGGTCTCCAAAGCAGAGGAGCAATGCTCCCTGTGTGAGGGATGCACGGATTAACCACTGGGAAACTGCTGCAGAGGCTCTCACAGACCAGCATCGCAACAGAGGCTGAGCAGAGGAGACCAACTTGCTGATAAACACAGGGATTAATTCAGAGTCCTTAATGACACTCTCATTCTCTTTGTACCCTGTCAGGTGGCAGTAGCAGGTTCCAAAGCTCTCTGGTCTCTCCCTACTTTAGTTCTCTCTCTCCAAGCACCAGCCCTGGTGGAATTACACCTGAGACCACTCTCACTGACACAAGGCACAATCCCATGGCTGCATACACTGAAAGCCTGTCTTTATTTCTGCAAGTCAGTTCGGGGGGTAGTGATGAAAACTGGGCTCACAAGCATTTGCCATCAGTAGAAAATTCAGTGATGAGTACCTGCATCTGTAACCTGTAGTACTTCTTGGAAAGGTCAACACTCGTCCGTCCTTTCTGGAAAGGATAAGACCACAAAATCAAATTCCAGTGATTGCCCATTTTCTGGACTCCTTCCAAAAGGCAGTTAATTTCTTCAGTTGTGAAATCTTTTCGGGTTCTTCTCTTGTTCAAAGGTCTCATGCTCATGGCCAGGGAACACATTTCATTGCCCTGCAAATAATTATTTTGGTGTTATGAAGAATTATGTAAATGTACATAACATTTTGCAGATGGAAGTAACATATTACTGGCAATTCAACACTTAATGGTTGTAGAGAAATGGTCACACTGGCAAGGGAACAATGCTTCTTCAAGGTTTCTTCACTGTCTCTGCTTAATGAAATACAGTATTTTTCTGTAATCTTCATTTCTGTTGTGCCTACACAGTTTATTCTTTTAGCAGATTTTTTCCTTTAGGTTTCTGTTACTTCCATACTATGCAAATCTTCATCAATACAGGAAAAATCAGACCTCCAGATCCATCGTTCTGAAAAATGCTGACACTCAATTCAGGGCTAAATCAGTGTGACTAGAGTAGAATCAACACAGGAATATTTTTTAGTAAGTTTCATTTTGCTACTGGGCTCCTGTTAAAGGTGGCTAAAAAAGAAACTACGCAATTCCTAGTGCTTTTATTTGGCTATTTATAAAAATGTCAGTGCATGATTAGGCTTTGTATAACTAACCTCATCTTTGTCAAGTGAATGTGTGCAATTTTCTTTTAAGTGCTGACATTTTTGGCTGCATATCTCTTTGACTCCCTGTCTCTTCAGGTTAGCATCTTGGGTTTTTCGTAAAGCTATGGAATTGTGAACAAGGAGGCCACTTAGTCACTTTAAACTAACTAAAATCTACTGAAAAACTGAATACAAAACTGGAAAGGAGCATTTATGCTAATGAATCTGAATATGTAAACATTGCTTTGTTAGTAGTATCTCATTCTCCTTAGATCTTTTTCTCATAATCCACGTTATTAATTCATAAGGACTACTGATGAACCAGAAGCAAATGTGTAATAATAATAGTATTATTGATGTTCAAGTGGATTTCTGTAAGAGAAAGTGTAACAGTTTATTTAAATTCATAGCCATTTATCTCCAATAGCAAGGACATGCGCTTCTCTGCATTCCCTAAATGCAAACCTAAATGCAAACACTGATCTTTCAGCTGTGCATATCAGAGAATTCATTTTCTGGTAATACTCACACTTTCCATATGCAGGTGTCAAGCTATAGTTGCTGGTCCACCTAATATTTCTACTATGTTCATCTCTCTTTGAAGTATTAGATTTATCTTTTCTATTTGGAGTCAAAAGAATGCCTTAAAAAAATAAACAATACAAAACCCAAACAATAAAACATTACACATCTTTCTTAGAAAGAAACCAAATCATAAAACATAGGTTATGTTTTAGGAATTAAAATTTATCAGAGAAACATCTTTTGAGCCATACCACTAATCTGGTCTTGGAAGAAAGACTAGAAAATGCAGTTTACTTCGCTTATAGGAAATGTGTGCTTGCTAAAGATAATGTATTGCTGTAATGGGCTTTCATTTTGCTGTGGTTGCTCTGGTTGGGTTTCTTTACATTGCAAAATACCTTTGTGGCTTTCATAAGACAAATTAATCAATTTCTGAATCTGAAGGGGGAAAACATAAACAAATTTTAAAATCAACCTATTACCTTTTACTGGGTATTAATTAAATAAAATAACCATGTAAACATGGTTAAAAAAAAAAAGGCTTTTTAAAATAAGAGTATTAAAAATAAATTTCTGGTGGGAACTTCAAAATTCAAATTTCAATTCTTGTTTCAAAGAAGAATTTATTCAAAAGGATTCCCCTTGTAGCTGTTTGGACAAGCCCCAAGTCCTCAGCAGATCTCCCAGGAGGAACAGGAATGGATCTAATGGCATAACATGACTGGAACTGCATAAGGAGTGGTGCTGAATCCAGGTTCAGGCAGCTGAGTTCCGCTCTGAGCCTGACTAAACCTCTCCATTTTAGAAAACAGTGTCACAAAACTGAGAAATAGCAAATGACATGGAAGTAACCCTGACAGGATTCAAAACAGGATCAACACAGCCAAGTGCCAGGTGACTTTGCAGGGAAATAATGTACATTACACAATTTCATTATTATAGAGTATACATTTTCTGGCCTAATGATAGAGATTATTCTCAGAATTTAGAAAAAAAAAAAAAAAAAAGAAGATAACTTTCTATGGACAGTCTCCCATGATAAAGTTCTGCAAAAGAGTTAATAGAGAGTAAGGGCTTTTCACCCCAGTTTCCAAACCAAGCCTTTACTTTGGAAACTATCCTTCTTGCTTCTAAAAGTTGGTATTTCTTTATGCAGCTGGTCTTTCTTCACTGGGGTCAGCAGCATTTCTGGAAAATGTAAGATGAACTCCAGTAAAAATGCCAGTAAGTAATAACTGTTTAATTTTCAGAATTCCTCCTTTAAACCAGAAATATATAGGATGTGCTTCTATTTAATTAATTGAGATTTCTAAGTATCCTAGACCCATAAATGTGTAATATTGAATGTAATTACTTTGGTGTGATGTACTCACACATACTTCAACTTAACACATTCCCTTCTCTTAGGACCTGACTATTTCTGGCAAATGTTAAGAGTCTTATCAAAGCCTATAATGAGCATCTGTCACCATGGCACGAAATACACAAGATCCTTCAAAAAAGAAGTGGCCAGTTCTGATCTCACTTAGTACAAATCATTATAAATAAAATTCCATGAGTGAGTTTAAAACAGCAAGACAATCAGAAACAAATAAAAAAAAGTTCAGAATTTTAAATGCAACTTAAAGCAGTGGTTCCAAGTACTGAAAATAAACTCCATACTCTGGTGAGCTGCAGATCTGCTGTTACCAGCAGCCACCCTGCGGAGCTGCCCTCGGTATCTTTCTTCAGCCTCCAGGATGACTCTGTGGTGCTCACACCTCTGCAGGCAACTCTGCAACATCTTGGTGAAGGTTTTACTGTTCAAGGACAGTCCTGCTGTGCAACCTGGGAAAAACAGGATACTGCAGAAATAGCAATCATAGCTTCTGAAGAAGCCATCACAAAATTCAGTGTTTCATTTTGCTCACTAGGATCAATCTGACTTCAGGTTTTCCATACTCATGTCATTTTTATGTGCCTTCTTGAAATACTTTGTATTTGCTCTCTCAAAATAAAAGTATTATTTCAAAATTTTATGGGGTTAAGTTATACTACAATTCCACTCCAGGAGTACTGAGTGAGGCACAGATCCTCTACAGAACTACAAGTATCAGTGGGATGGGAAGACACAGGCCTCAGTTCCATTTGCACATTTATCCAGGAGCCAAAATACATATATTATGTACTATTATTTATTTTTTTAAAAAACTTTGTATTGTAGCAGTTACCTGAATCAATCTTAATCTGAATCAATGGTAAGTCTAGTTTAGGCATGAATTCCCTCACAGGAAGCCTTGCTGCTCATTTTTGAGGACATTCCTAGGGTAATTTATGATTTAGATATCCTTAGATGCTCTCATGGTTAAGTTACATCCGCTGAAGGAGAACTTGTGTGAGGTGTCACAGTAAGGGCACAAGTCCATATCTGTAACATTCCACCATAAGATAAAGCAGTGCTGAAGCTCAGCTTGAATTTAGTTTGATAACTCAGATAAAAATAATGTTCAAAGGTAGGTTATGGGCTGCTTTGGGGATTCTTTGGTTTTCTGTGGGTTTTTGTTCAGTTGTGGGTTTTTACATGAAGAAACATTGGCTTGATTACAAAATTCACTCACAAATCCAGAGTACCAGCAGCATTCTCATGAACTACTGATGGAACAGGCTGAGGCAGTGGAGCCTGGGGTAACTGAGGGCTGTAGCTGTGGATTACCATAAAACTGCCTGCCTGTACTTCACAGCAGTGAGGCAGAGAGAACAGAAGGGCTGTGGAACACTGAGGAGGCTTAGCAGGAGAATAAATGAGGGAAATGAGAAGGGCTACGTGTTCTTCCACTCTGCAAGCAGAGAAAGGAGGAAAACACCTGCTCAAGTATTCTAATTAGGGAGTCACCTTTCGAGTTACTGTATGTTCTGTTTGTCAGCAAACCCACATGGACCAAAACTGCAATTTGACAGGGGAAGGGCAGGGCAGGGCAAGGGCAGGGCAAGGGCAGGGCAGGGGAAGGGCAGGGCAG